TATGAACGCTCTTGCGCAAGAAAGCTCTGATTGCCAATCACAGAATGGCCATCAGAGTACCTGTGCTTTTTCAGATAGGCTCTTTTTGTATAAGAAACCCCTGTGGAGCGTCCACACATGCCTTTTTGTGCAAGAGATGTAGTGCAAAAAGGAGTTATGCCTCGTACAAGGAGAAATACCTACACCACAAAAAGCCCTCTGTTCTGTCGATTGACTGTAGATTTTCTTGCACAAAAATGTGCTTGAAATGTGGATGCTCCGCGGGTTTTTGCACAAAAACCTTGTAGTGTAGACATAGCCCCAGAAAGCAGACTTGGAGAGGAGAAGAGAAAACTGACCTTTAAAGTCTTTACAGAATCTTCTCCAGCATTGCTCTGTAGAGTTGCTCTTTGTTACTTTCATTCCAAATTCACTGTTGTGGCCTTTTAGGGCATACCTGAAACATGCCGTCTCTAGGGATATGGCTAGACTGCCGAGGGGCTGGGAGGGGTTGGGATACCAGAGGTATCTGCTGCCGCATCCAGGGAATGGGTTTGCTCTTCCGCTTTTTCTGCGGAAGAGCAAACACGCTCTTTCAGAAGCTCCTGTATTCCTCCACGAGGAAGAAGGGGGTTTTCAAAAAGGGGGATTTTCCAAAATTTGGCACAGTTTAGACGGGCCAAATTTCGGAAAAGCCTCTTCCGACAAAAGTATCAGAAAAAGATATGCAAGATGCAGATTGCATTTTGCGTGTCTTTTTCTGATAGATCCTTGCAGTCTAGCCATACCCTAAGTGCTTGTCTACACCAGAGCTTTTTGTGCTGATGTGGCTATGATGATGGCAGCCTTATTGTAGATGCATTACACTGTTTGCACTTACCCTGGTTTCACACCAGCACACTCGAATGTGAAACCAGTGCCATGCATTTACTCAGGGGCATGCACCGATGTGCAGTTACACTGAGGTAGAGGTCCCTGCACTAGGCAAGTCCTAAATTATCTTTCCACTGAAGAAATCACTATAAAAACATAACATTTTAATGCTGAAATTAATGTTTGAGATCTAGGCTGTGTTTTGCACAGGAAAATGGCCGTGTTTACTTTTAAGAAGTTAACAACACGAACAGAGACTGTGCTAAATGTGTCCCACTCTGTTAAACATGTCATTTGGCCAAAAGACCATTTCATACCGTTATTTGGACAGATGATTAAAATGTATCAGGATTGTTAGTGGGATTTCACTAGAACTAGAGCAAATTGCCTTCATGTTTGAGTTCTACTGAGCACCCTTGCTTCACACCACTATCTTTGCACCTGCAGTGTCCTCTGTAGGTAGAGAGTCATTGTTAAGACTTCTTTAATCCCCTCCCCTCAATGCTTGTGTCTTTCCCCCCTGCTGCTGCAGGGACATGACATGATTTGCCTTTAGGCAGATGCAGAACAGGAAGTTGGTTTTCTGGCTTGCAGGAAATTCTGTGAGTTTTAATGCCTTTCCCATGTTGCAAAGAAGTGAAAACACAAAATTATTTTTTGAGCGATGGCTCATGTCCATTCAGTGTAGGTGTTTGTGTTCACCATAGGCATCCGTGCTGGAAGGTTTTCCCTTAGCAATATCTGTAGGGGAGCTGTCTCAGGCACCCCTTGAAATGGCGCACACATGCCACGTTATACAGAGCACCTCTGGCCCCCTACACGCTTAGTTCCTTCTTACCAGACAACTCCCAACAGTGGGGAAGGAGAGCAGCATGCTGAATGGACACAAGCAACACATCTCGAAAAACGCCAGTTACGGAAACAGGTAACTGTCTTTCCTTCTTTGAGTGCCTGCTTGTGTCCGTTCAGCATAGGTGACTCCAAGCAGCATATTCGGAAGTGGGGCTCGTTGGCACGCCGACTGCAGCACAGCTCTTCCAAAGGGCCTGTTGTAGCAGGGCTTAGAGCATGGCACAGGAGTGCACTGACAATCATATTGCAACTTCGTAAATATCCAGAGTAGGAACGTTGTCGAGGAAGGACATTGAGGAGGCTTGCATGGTGGGCGGCTGATAGCATGACCGAATGCAGGAGATAATCCAGGTAGAGGTTTGTTGTGTGCATATCGGGAGCCACTTCATCCGGACGGCATAGTCAATGAAGAGCTGGGGTGATTTGTGAAATAGCTTTGTTCTGTCAATGTGGAACACACAGACCCTGCAGACATCCATGTGCAACTGTCTCTCCCTGGGAGTCTCATGAAGTTTTGGGGAGAGGACTGGGAGGAAAATATCCTGACCCACACTAACTAGCTACTGAGAAGAGTAAACTAACAATAGAAGTTATTTACAGGGAAAACACAGTTCAAGTAGGGACGTGTGCAACAGCTAATGCTGAGATGAGCAGGAGCGAAGCACTGTCACTAGAGGCAAGGAGGACTGATTGTGGAGGGGGCTGGCGGCACCCTATATAGTGTGGCATGTGCGTGACACTTTAAAGAGTGCCCCAGCCAGCTCCCCTAAGGGTACTGCTAAGGGAAAATCTTCTGGCACCGGTGCATGTGGTGTGCCCGCACACCTGTGTTAAATGGACATGAGCAGTACTTCTTGAAGCACACCAGTTACTGAAACAGGTAATACCGTCGTCTTTGAAATTTGCCTCTAAACAAAATTCTGGGGGGGGGGAGGGATTTGAAGTCAACCGAAGCATTTTTGTTTAAAAAATTGAAATGTTTCATTCTAATGGCCATATCTTATTTTTATGCTATAAAATAAATTTAAAAATAAAAAGTGATCTCAAAACAAAGAATGGAAATGTTCTGTTGTGAAAATGTCAAAATGGAATATTTTCATCTTATTGCTCTTTTCCTGGAAACAAAATGTTCTCATATTTGACATGCTTCTGGGAAATGTTTGTTGTCAATGAATTGGCATTTTCCGCGAGAAAACATTCCATCAGAAATTTTGCAGCCTCTATAGCAGCAGGGCCCCATCAGCAGCGCTTGGTATCCCCACTCTGCATATCTGCCTTTATTCCCTCCTGCTGTTGCTCTGGCTGAACAGACAGAGCAGGAAGAACCATTCTGAGCACCTTTCAGAGCAGCAGTTCAGACCTATTAGCTTCTTCCAGCAAATGCAGAACCATTTTCAGATTGTTGTCAGATCAACATGTGTGAGAAGCTAGGAAGGCTGTAACTCTTATCACTCAGCTCCCCAGGTACATTATCTTTATGTTCAACACAGGCTGGTGGCAAAGTCTGAGGTGAGGTTTCTTCTATTCTGTTCTTCTGTTCAGTTTCTTTGAATTGTTTCTTGTCTTCCATTTCCTTTTTTCATTTCTTGCTTTTTGTGAAGCAGATTCCATACACAAGCTAAGTTTTTGCAGTGTTTTATTTTGAAGAGTTAAACACACAGAAATCAAGAAAGGCCAAGAATCTTTGAGGCTTCTGTGGATTTTTGTGTCCTTAATGTCTTTGCCATCATCACCACAACCTCCCTTGAACTGAGTTGCAGTGATGTGCAAAGGAGTATGTCTGTCTGCACAGCTTCTGGGAGCGAATCTTTCAGCCCATCCAACAGGCTTGGGCTAGCTGTTCAGGCTTGGCCTGGATTTTGGGTTCTGCAGCCAATCTCCAGTCCTAGGCTTCAAAGCTCAAGCACCATCCCAAGTCGAAATGTCCACTTAGCACGCTAGTGTGAGCTTGCTTACACAAGCCTGTCACCCCATCTGCAGGACTTGCTCCCAGAAGCTGTGGAGACACACTCGAGGAGTTCAGGCGTGAGCCCATCATAATAGCAAAGCATATGTTGTGTACAGCAACTGGCAGCTAGATGTTCTGTTGTACTTGTCAGCATGGAACAACACCCTGTCGCATGTTTATTCCTTTGGCTAGTTAATTTGAGAAACTTGGAGCCTTGGCTGAAAGGCACTTTTCCTTCACTATTGCGCCTTTGACCAAACCGCGGAATTGTCAGTTGCTTGGTCAAATGCCCGAATGATGTGGCCAGTTCCAGGTGACTAGTGTGACAGAATCGCCTTGGTTTTCACAGATGCTGGTTTGATAACATGCCCCCATAATACTAGAGGGTTCTAGTGCGTGCAACATTTTGATTAGCGAGACTCTAAAACAGGACGTCCAGTCTCCTGGCATAGCTTATGACCAAGGAAGTACGAATCAGCCAATGAATGCACAAGAAACAGTGGAGACTTGCAATTGTTTTAAGTGAAACACTGTTATTGATTAGAAATAAAGTGTGGAATATACACAAACTCCTTTTTCAATCAACATTAGAAACAAAATTGGCAACAGGAAGCGCCTTAAAACAAATGTGGCAGCCTGTAGCTTCTGTCACAAACTGGGCATCATCCTGCATTCCTTATACAGACAAATGCCCATTGAGGGCTGTGGAAGCTGTGTGTATCTCATACCTGCAGGCTTGGGCACTCCTGTCAAGAAACATTGATCGGACAGCTTCTGGTTTCTTAAGCAATAGTCAATGTGCATGGTATTTTATATTGAAAATGGCTCTTCAGAGTCTTTTTGCAGCTAGTTGAAGTGATTACATAGTATTTGAAATAAATTAGTTTTCCTTTAAATCAACAAGCTCTTCATATCCTGCCACAACACGATATGAAGGGGAGGTGACACACACAGCTTTGTGTACACAGGATTGGGGAGTGTGCAAAAGCATCTGGGTTCTGCATGCCATACCGAGTCCTGCTACAAGCCCAATGATGTATTTTTGTGCACACAAGAAAATATCCATGTAAATGAGAGTAATTAGAATGAATCTGATCTAAGAGACATATTAAGCCTTATGCTGCAGCTAAGACATATAGCTACTTAAAGCTGTGCCAAGTGTATTTCTTTCCTGATTTAATATTCTCCCTCCACCCTGCATCCCCAACTAGAATCCTCCCAGAAATCACATTGTTGCTTTTAGCCTATGTGAACCCTTCTCTTTTAATGTTTAATCAAGTGCTTCTGAAAAGAGAAAGTTACAAACAATTTAAAATGTGGAAAAATTGCTTCCCAATATTTTTGACAGAGAGAGACTGAGAACACACAGCATTGAATCATCAGGAAAATTGAAGATTTCCCCTGAACAGCATTGGGATTTTACTGCAGAGGACTTGAAAGACCTTGGAGAAATTGGACGAGGAGCTTATGGTTCAGTCAACAAAATGGTCCACAAACCAAGTGGGCAAATTATGGCAGTTAAAGTAGGTGATGCCCATAATTGTGTTTGTACTTCAGTTCATTATGGATGGAACGTGATGGAGAATTAATGTTCATCCGTCTGTCACCCGTCTATTGTTCTGTTCTGTTTATCTCCAGGATAAAGGGTACTTGTGCTGAAAACAGTGTATAATGGGCTTATCTGTCAATTGACTTGTAAAGGTCTTGTATCTTGCTTGTGCACTTGAAACACCTGACTCCTGTCTCTCATGAGGCCATTGCTGCAGGGTCGGGGATGGCGGGGACTGGATGGTTCAGGACTGGTAATGGGATATGAGACCTTTCATCTGCTGATCACTGGTTCAAATCCAGCATAGTTTGGTTGTAAGCACGAGTTAACATCCAATGGCAGCTTGGTGTCCTTTGTGAAATGAGTTAGTGGCTAAAGACTGATTCCAAGTGTATCATGCTGCAGAAATTCACAGCCTCGCCAGAGTGAGCATGTGTTTAGAGAGCATGTTGCTCTCTCACCATAGTGTGAAAGCATGGGGTATCACCAGTGCTGACCCCGTTCTGGAGAGGCAGAAGGGATCAGCCTCCCAAGCTGTCCATTTGCTGTGTTATACCAGTGCCAAATTCATGGGTGGTGGTGGGGGTTTGTTTTTGTTTTTTAAATGTTATTTTCCTAGCTCTTGTGTAACATAAAATAATCTTTGTCTTTGCTGTAACACTGCATGCTGTTGGGAATTTTTGGGCAATCCAGATCAGGTGAGATGGGTAGTAGATGTTGTTTCACTCTGGAAGTGATGAATTCTCACTTCTTACTAGTGCTGCATAACAGTTAACAATATCCGCTTCCTAAATCAAGTGACAGGTACAAAATAGTGACCCATGTTCCAGAGCAGAGGTGAGCTGCGAACCCAAGTTACCTGGAAGTATGTGTCACTCTATGTAATGGTCTTACTCTCCAAACACCATCTGAGCGGGTCTGGACATGTGGATTCCCAGTGGGTTGGAGCCAGTTTGGGGATGTGTTCCAGCACTCTTCCTAGCAAACATCCTGTGTGCTAGAGAGGTGGATCAGACCCAGGTGCCTGAGCTTTGTGTATGTGCAGTCCCTGTCCCCAGCATCCCCCTCTGTCCTCTTACTTCCTCCAGCCACATGACGTGCGCCTAGGAAACTGATGCCTGGCGCCTTTCGTGACTCAGAGACAACTTGCTGCAACAGCAGCACCCCCAGCCTCAGTCAGTCGGGGATGGAAGGAGACACTGGAGGATACTGTGAGGTACTGCTTACCCTGGGCTCAACTGGTGGGCTGTGTGCCATGTTCTTCTGCCTCTAGCCTTGCAGTAAGACACTGAGCTGGCATCCGCTACAAGGTGGGGCTGGACTTGGCTTTCTGTGCCCCTTTATGCCTTTCAGCGAGTGAATCTTGACATGCGGAAGGGAAAAAGGCTCCCCAGGTGTGCTAGTGGCCACCCCTTGCTTTGGTAAGACTCTGGTGCACTACTTCCATTCAGTTTGTACAGTGAAGACTGTAGCTTTGGTGGGCATCGAAGAGTTGGAAATTAAGCATAAGGAAACTTGGGTGGAAAAATGACAAGATGCATCAATCCAAAACCGTTATCTCAGGGCAAGGAGCCTTGATGTTGGACTTGTTTAAGGTTAGCTTTCCACACAGAGTCAGTTCTGAGCTAGCAGCTGGGGAGGACACTGGATGTGGCTTCCTCTGATTTCTGTGACTCATGCTCTTTGGCCAGTCCGGGAGATGGAGTCTCTTCAGATCAGCTGGGCCCTGTTGTCCCACACAGTCGGTCCCCACTGGGTTATCCGTCCTCTCTCCCTAGCTCTCAGGATACCACCAGCATCTGAGTCCGTTCTAACGCCCTGTGACTTGCCTCTGCTTGACGAAGCAGGTGGTGGGTTCTCTAGGCCTCTCCACTTTCTGTCAGCAGGCAGGAGCTTTCCCAGTATATTTTGTTTTATCTCACTGTGCTTGGTTCCCCTCCCTCCATCCCTCCCTTGGCAGGAAGAGGATTTTTGAGAACAGGAAACTCGCATTTAAAGAGAAAACATGGCAGGACAGCAGGGCCGGGTAAGATCAAAGAACCTCTGCACATGGCCAGCTGCACAGTAGTGTGCCGCCTCCTCTGCTTTACAGCATTGTGGCAGGCAGCAGGGAGTGGAATTCAGCAGCAATCGTTGGCTTCACAGACTCTCCAGGCCGGCTCTCCCAAGCTGTTTGGTGTTTCAGACTCAGGGGAGAGCATTGGCTCCAACAGCACTGATGTGGCAGACAAGCTCTCAGCTGTGTGGGCTGGTCATTCCCCAGCAAAACATGATGTTTTAGAAGCAACAAGCCAGAGACCGGTGGCTATTGTCTTCATGGTGGATTCTCTGGGACTTGAAGTCTTTCAACCATGATTTGAGGTGAGAGCCAGAGGGGAGGAGTCTATTACAGGATTGGGCAGCCCAATGTGCAGGGGGGCAGACTAGATGATCGCGATGGTCCCTTCTGGCCTTAAAGTCTATGAGTTCGTTTGTGAGAGGTTGGAAGTTAGAAGGGCCCATGCCACAGGACTCCAGTTGCCACTGTTACTAGGTTTTTGCCCCGCTTGTTCCAGGAAAGGCCATAGCCAATATTCTCTCTAATCTTTTCTATCCATCTGTGGAATAAATGTCTGTTGGGTGCACTGAGGCATGTGTGAATGTGCCCCACCAGTAGAAACAAAACCTAGCTGTGGGCGCTCTGCTAATCAGCTGGGTGGCACTGGACTCTCTCCTGAGCAGCTGCACAAGCACCCAGCATGCAGGGAACACTGGCCTTAGCCAGTACTGGTGGTTGTTGGCTTGCCCCTCATTGGATCTTTCTGAGCCTTCTGCCTCCTCTTCTCTCTCCTTTCCCCCTCCCAGCTGGTCTGACTCCTACAGGCTAGAAACAGATCACAGGTTTTAAAAATGAACACACTGATTTTCCCAATTTGAGTGGCTCAGTTTCCCCATATTTATCCCCTGTTCTTTTAGATCTGGATCACATGGGACTCTGGGCACTGAGCCTGTTCTCTCAGCTACCTCAGGTTGGTCATTTGACAACCTTGCTTGTCATTTTCCATTTCTTCCACGACCCATCCTGCCAGGTTCCTGGTGCCCAGAAGCCCACTGTTCCCTGGTTGCCCCAGTATTCCATTTAACCGCTGCATGCTCGGCATCATCTTTATCATGGCATGCAACAAAGGGCTCTAGTGTCAGCAGAGCTCCGGTAGTCACATCTGCTGCTTTTCGTACCAGAGCCGCGGAGCAGCCTTACCCGTCCTGCCAGCCTCCATGTACCAGTACCCACCAAACAGCGGGATCTGCAAGCAGACACACTATCGTTTCCCTTCAGATATGCTAGTTTGGCTTAGCCAACCATTTTATTGAGCGGGCAGCAGGTGTTACTGCTGAGGCTGTCCAGTAGCTGATATCATCAGCCTAGCCAGCTTCAACAGACAATCCAAAAGACTGTGATCCTATACGAAAATGTCAGCATTGAGGGAGGAGAGTGCACCCTTTTGTTGCACAGGCATGAAAACACTTCAGCAAGATTTTAAAGCTGACAGAGCATTACTACATGAGCAAAGGACTACAGCATGAGAGCTCATGCCCAGCTCTGTTTCGCCTCTTCCCTGCATCATCCTCTGCAGGCATGTTTCAAAGTAAATAACAAATACAGATGTGCTTCCATGTCTCTCCAAGGCGCATGGCAGAGTCTGGGGCAGCAGCAAAGCAGTGGTTGCAGAAGCAGCTTCTTTAAAACTGGTAGCATAGCACATGGGGGAGGGGAGGGTTACTCTGCCAATTCTGAGGGAGCTAGTTCAGACCTTCAGGGTGCTGCCCTGAGTCAAAAGGAAAAAGCAGCACCTCAAGTGGGTAACTGAGAGGGAGGGAGGGAAACAAATAAGAAAAATACATAATGAACAAATAAAAACATGTAGCACCTTGGGTGTCTCCATTTCCCCCTTTTAGAATAGAGCTTTCTTCCAAAATTGTCAAGCCTCCCAAATCAAATAAAAAGAAAAATCCATTTCAGACAAGGGGATGTCAAAACTATCAAACAGCCTCCCCATAGATTTCAGTTCCTCTCCTTCGCCCCTCCTGTCATCCTTCCCTTCTGTGAGCCAGTGTAAGGCACTGAAGGGCAGCCTTGCAAATCTCATCTCACCAGAAAAAAGTACTCATTCTACTGTGTTGTTTGGGGGGTCCGTTCAACACTCTGCCAGGCTGGAAGGAGAGTAGACCAGTCTTGCCCAGCACTGGTTCTGATTAGCTGTGCACAAAGCCCATTGGTGCACTGAGTCCAAGTCTTTCTGATAAAGATTTCTCTTTGGGATTTTTCCTTGTCCTACAGAGAGCTCATCCCCATCTTCCAATTTGCCTTTGTCAGCAATGCTGCCTCTACTTTGCAATCTTGCAGACCCATTTCCAGTTCCAGACAATGATCTTTGACTTGTCTCTTGTTTCTTATTTCCACACTAGGCAAATAGTATCGATGATGCAGAGCCTACAGCAGGAGGATCACAGATAACTTGTGATAGCCTGGTCCTGCAAGATAGTGTCTGCCCATCCTGACCAGATCTTTCAACTGCTCAAGTTGCCCAACTTCTTCATTTATTTTCAGACCCTCTCCTTAGTGCCTTCTCAGAGTCTGGCCCACTTCTGTCAAGCTTTGAGTCTAGGCCAGAGATCTCACAATTGGATTCCTTCTTAAGAAGCGCTCAAGTATTTGCCCACCAGGATCTCCAGTTACTTTGTATGAGAGCGACAGGTTGTGGTAACTCTGCCATGACACACTTCTGTACCTATACACTGCCCTGCTTATCAGTGGAATCTCTGGAATCAGAAAACCAATTCTCTTCCACACTGCTGTGGTAGGCCCCACTCCGTTCCAGGTAAATAAGTGCCGAGAGTTGCAAGCAGTTAGGAAGGCATATGAAAACAACAACAGGAGCTCTGTGGCACGCTGGCACTTCCACCTGGCATGGGAGAGAATGAGCTACAGACCCT